CTTATTGTAGACTTTTATTGCAAAATCATTTTTGGTCCCATCTCAAAAACTTCTTCAGTTACAAAATGATAACAGATACTTGTGATCCTGTGTATAACTGTTTCTTAAAAACCTAAATTGTATTAATCCATGCAGCCAAAAAAGCTGATATTTTATATTATGCTGGAATTGTTTAAAATGTTCCAAAATATCACTCTCCCTACTTGAAGATGTGCTCATGTGACTACTCTTTGGTACATAAATAGTTAGATCATATCTGATGATACCACAATAGGGAGTTCTTTGCAAATATATAAAATCCCAAAATGTTTAGACTTCAAGACAGCATATAACTAATCGCACTATATCAGTTAAATAAAGTATGACAACAAACGATGTGCAAGTGATCTGTTGGAATCTATAGTATTGGGTTAACAAAGGGTTAATGGTGATAAACAAAAAAATTGCTGCAACAAAGCTGTTAATTTTAGTGGAAATGTATAAGGAAAATATATAAAATTGTGTTTAATTTTAAAGAGTTTACCTTCTTAGAGACTTTTTATGCTATATTAATTAGATTTGTAGGGGGGGTGTAGTTTGTAGAGCCACCCTGAGGTCCCTAAAGAAGATGTCAGGCTGAAGGTAGCTAATTTCTTACCTGCTGGTTTATAATGGGGATAGTTTCACAAGTTAAAAGCATTTTTAGGACCTGTTACTGTAACAGACCAAAGATTCCACACTGCAATGCCTGTAATGCTGTGTTCGTCTTATTTACTATGTAGATGTAGGATACAGTGAGTACTTTGTGTAGAATCCAGAGCATTTATTTAATGTCTGTTCAGACCAATAACTAGCCTTAAACATTAATGATAAAATATTTTCGTATTCTAGGTAGAGTAGTAAGAAAATAAATTACATACAGGAAACACTAACTAATTGTATCATGCTCCATGCAAGACTAATGGTCTAACAGAAAAATGATTCAAATGCCCATTTATTTCTGTATATTGTGTTCTAGAGATTATATATACTTATATATGCAGGCGTTTAAGATTATTTGCATAGGCTAGTAATTAATAATACAGAAACTATTGAAGAATAAAGGATAGTATACATATTAAATTATGGTCTGTGCATCAAGTGTCAAGGTAGGACATGCACTAATAGACAGACACAGGTAACCTCTGGCACTATCAGCTATGGCTCTCACATCCTCAGTGATGCTCAGTCTGCCATCCATAACACTGGATGAGTGCCATAGAAGTCTTTTATAAGAGCTGAACAACCAGAGAGGTCCCCTAGTAGTCCAACTATGTCACCAAAACTAGATTCCAGATGTCTACCTCAAAATGAGATTGGATTTAGCATGTCAGATGTATTTAGTCAGTAAACTATAGCAGCTGAAGGGTTCCAATTTTCCAAGTAAGCCGTGCAAAACTGAAATAAAAGGTTGTAATTTTTGGTCATAGAAAAGGATTTTTTTTATGTTGCAATATCACCTTGCAAATTTCTATCACTTTTTGTTTTTTTGATCTGGTCTTTTTCTGGCGTAAATGCAGATGTCCTCTTGTTGTGTTTTCCCCGCAGGCCTAATTTGACAATGCTGTATTTGTTAGCGTTCTTTTTGTGTTTTCTAAAATCCCATTGGTGCACTGGACAATGGGGCGTTGTGATGTAAACTAAGGCAAGTTTAAAAAACAAAACAAAAAAAAAACATGCATACAAACATATAATGGAGTGACTTATTTTCAAACAATTGTGTGTTATATTTACTCATTTAAAAGCGATTATCTGAAAACACAGTTTACCAAAATGTGTATATTTTAATAAATGCATAAAGCTGTTAAGTGTGCCTTTTATATTAAAGCAACATTATGAATTAATACATTGTGTCATAGAATCTACAATCGGCCAGATGGAATTTTAACATTGATTGCCAAAAGTTATATTGTGCTTATTTCCTCGGTTTAAATTGCACAAAATTAACGCCACACTTTTCAGAGTATATCCCCATCTCGCCCAACTTGTGTTTCTCCTATTGCACTATCCGCTCAATTAACCAATTTTTCAAAGTAGTTCTTCCTGGTTTGTGACAATAAACTTGCCGAATGGGTCGAAAGCAAATAGTGTGAAATGGAAAGAACTCTAGGGAAAAAAATATATTACTTCATAGACATAGAACGTCTGCATAATGACATGAGTACATCAAGTACATGATAAGATTGGTGTACAGCTTTCTATGTAGCCCAATCCATCAAAAACATGGAACCATGAGTGTCTAATGGGCACCAAAATTCTCTTTATGTCACTGGTAAAATGCTTCATTTGAATGCTTGTTTCACATCTTTTAGTTTCCATATTACTGTTTCATTTATTAAAGGGAACTGTAGTCACCCAAACCACTTCATCTCAATGAAGTGATCTGGATGCAGTAGCCCTGAACTTTTCCACCTCTAGAAGCTATTAACCCCTTAAGGACACATGACGGAAATATTCCGTCGTTATTCCCTTTTATTCCAGAAGTTGTGTCCTTAAGGGGTTAAAACTCATGTGATGCAGTAGCCCATTGGTGGAAAGCATTGAATACAATGCTTTCTTAAGGAGAAACTTGGACGCGCGCACAGGGTTCCCCACACATGCGCATTAGATCCCCAATGCTCCTGTATGAGGAGTACTGGATTGCACCATCATGGAGCAGGCCACATCTTCTCTTTGATGTCAGTGGAGATAAAAATGATCCTTCGGCGCTGGAAAAAGATAAGTAAAACCTTAATTTTATTCATTATTATTACTACACATGGAGGGCACCTGTATCCACTGCCATAAGATTAAAACCTCCCAAATGTTGTGTAGTGCACCCTTGTGCTGCCAAAACAGCTCTGATGCTTAATAAGCCTTAGTGTAGTGGTTCTGGTATCTATAGCCTGTTCCTGCAGACTTTTCAATTTAAACACTTCAATTTCAGAGAAAAGGCAGTGTTTATATTGCTGCCTAGTAACAACTCTAGTGACAGTCACCCAGATGGACATTAGAGGTGCTTCTCAGTGCGCAGCACCTTCGTTGAGCATCTCCGCACTCTGCATGGAGAGTGAACATTTCTTATGGAGACCCATTTTTGTGCAATAGCTTCCCAATGCTTACCTATGGGAAAGCATTGGCTTAACTGATATCATCAAGATTGCTTATCTAAGGCATGGTGGCAGGACCAACCACGGTCAGACAGGCACGGCATAGGGGAAAAAATGAGGAAATACACCTTTCCCATGTGATTAGAGGGAGGCTGCTCTCCTAAACAGACACATTTACTGACAGACACACACACACAGACAGATGCACACACTCACTGATTTAACACACACTGACAGACAGACACACACACACACACTCATAGACAGACACACAAACTGACACACACACACACTCACTGATTTGACACACTACCAGAAACACACTCACTGATTTCACACAATGACAGACACTCACTGAGAGACACACACTTACAGACAGACACACTGACAGACACACTACACACTCACTCACCGACAAACAGAAACACACTGACAGACACACATACTCACAGACACTGACAGACAAACACACACACACACACATACTCAGACACTTACTGATGCACACATATTCAGACACACACTCACTGACAGACACACATGCACTGATATTGAGACACTCACACACATTCTCTCACACACTCACAAATTATATGTTTTTTATTTAAATCAACCCAGCCTCCCTACCTTTGGGAGAGCTGGAGTGGATCCTTTCCCTGGGGTCAAGTGTGCTGCTGAAATTTTAAAGCTCTTCTTGCTCTGCTCCCTCGTGCAGTTTTGTGATGCTGGGGAGGAGTGACATTGCATTCAGGCTCCTAGCATCACAGCAGAGCGTGTGGAAGATTGCTGCTCCCTCGCTGCTGGTCTCCAACCTTCCTGAGCCAATTGCCTTAGGGGTGCGGGTGGACTGGTTCTGCAGCTGCTGTACTTGCTGACAAACACCTAGGTGCCAGGACAAAATTCCTAGTCACCATGGCAACCTGGGGTTTGTCGAGCCCCGCATACCCAGCCATCCTCCTGATCTAAAAGAAAATGTGATTCATTAGACCAGGCAACCGTCTTCCATTACTCCATGGTTCAGTTCTGATGCTCATTGCAGACACTTTTGGCAGTGGCTGGGACCATAAAGGGCACTCTACGGCAACACGGCCCCCTACACAGCATCGCACTGTGTTCTGACACCTTTCTTTCATGGCCATCATTAAGTTTTTCCGAAAATTGAGCAACAGTACCTCTTCTGTGTGATAGGAACAGACGGGCTAGCCTTCCCTCCACATGTGCATCACTGAGCCTTGGGCACATGACCCTGATGCCGGTTAACCACTTGTCCTTCCTTGCACCACTTTTGGTAGGTACTAACCACTGCATACCATTACCAGGAACACAACACAAGACTTAGCCTTTTGAAGAAAGCTCTGATCCAGTTGTCTAGCCATCACTATTTGGCCTTTGTCAATGTCACTCAGCTCTTTTCGCTTGCCCATTTTCCCTGCTTCGCACGCACTAAATTCAAGAACTGACTGTTCACTTGTTGCTTAACATATCCCACCACTTTACATGGGCCATTGTAACAATATAATCAAAGTTATTCACTTCACCTGTCAGTAATTTTAATGTTGTGGCTGATCAATGTATACCTAGCGACAGGGGCACTATAACATTAGGAATACAAGTTTGAATCCCTAACGCTATAGTGTTCCTTTAATCCCAAACAATTGTCTGCAGCAGTAATGGTCAAAAAGCAGATGCCCAGCTGTTGAAGAACTGCAATTCCCATTATTCTTTGTCATTCTCAGCACCATGAGAGTAGTTATTTAGGATCAGGTTAGAATCTACCCTTTGGTGCACCACGTATCTAGCATGATCATAAATTGCACTTGCAAGGTTATTCGCCAATGTGTGAATTATAGGATTTTCACAGTTCATAAACAGAAACATGAATATTTAAATTGACCACAAAGAAGAAAACCCAAAGTACTTAAGACATTTTATTATATTTTAGGCAAGGTAATGAAAATAAAAAGATTCATACATGTTAGAAACAACATTTGGAATGTTATACTCATAAAAATGTAGACACGTGAAGTTACTCCAAAAGGTGTAATTAGCAATTAGTATATTTTCTGGAAGTCTCATTATTGTTTTATTTACACTGTGAAAACATCTGAATATTCAAAAGTACTGGTAGATCTCCTATATTTGGGATGGCCCTCCAAGAGGGCTGCAGGATTCATCTTAATTTTCCTGAACATATATCACTACATCATGCTGAAGGGCTGTGAATTCGATGGGCTGACCCACTATATGTAGAGGAACACCAAAGGACTACCTTATATAGTTAATAGATTTTCTTCCTGAATGATAAATGTTATGAACAGGGCGGCACTTATCATTCACTGCCCATCAGAAGAAATTACATGTGTCCAGGAAAACATGGGTTCTCTGGAAACCATACATCCAGATTCTATGGAACTCAATTCCTAAATGCTGTCAAAGCATCATGGGAGTCTGCTACATGTTGACTATACCTGTATAGGGACACTATAGGCACACAGGCCACTTGATCTCTATGACATGGTCTGGCTGAAGTTCTCATGTTCCCTTAACTGTAGAGCAACTGCAATGTTTATATTGCAGGGTTAAGACAACCTCTACCGGCTGTCTTCTTGGCGTCTCCTACTTGTAATGTAGCTTGACTCCTCGAAACAATGTTGGACGTCCTCACGCTTTGCAGCTTCAAACCCGCATAGGAAAACATTGAGCCAATACTTTCCTATAGGAAAGCTCTAATGTATGTACATTTAGTTCCCTCAAAGGCATGAAGTTGCAGGAGGAGGGACAGAGCCAGTACCATGGGACCTCGGGGCTGGAAAGAGGTATGAGTTAAAAGAGGTTTTAACACTTTCAACATCAATGGGGGGGGTGGGGGGGGAGGGGTGGCCCTACAGAAAAAGGTTTGGGCTGTTTTGATGACTGGGTTGAGAAACACTACATCAAACAAATAGTTGTGTTGGTGTGTGAACTCATTTTCTCTTAATCAGCTAAGGTATATATTGATTTTCCAACTTCTGTGTGTTGGCTTACATTTCACAGCTCAGTTACCCCAGTCTTCAAAACTCACTGTCTAATGAAAAATCCACAATGAAACCAGTAATATATCCATTTATAAACTTTCTGCATACAAAAACAGTTTTAAAAATGACATTTCTTTTTATAAATCACACATAATGCAGTGTTTATGTTTGTAACCTCAGTTTGTGCTTTAAAAAAATCAGGAAATTACAAAATTAGGGGGCGTGAGTATTCACAAAATAAGAGGTACGTTTCAAATCCTTTAGCGTCTTCCATTTCTCGGTGTAGTACCCAGATGTATCATTTGTATTTGAGGAACATCTGGAGTTATACAGCTTGGTTAACTCTGTGCTTGGCTCATAAATGGTAGCTCTTGACGAATGCTTCCAGTTAAATTTAAATTACATTTTTTAAATCTGTATAGCACATGGCAGTGATAAAAACTTCTCTACTGAAATCATTTGTGTTTGACGAGTATTACTGCATCCCGAGTTAACAGGAACGTAGGTCCACAGTTGTATGATAAAATGAGTCATTAAAAATAAATGTCTAAAAAATGATATATGAAACAGCTGTCGTGCTAGTTATCGATAAATAATTGGCATATGCATTAAATAGACTATTCCATCTGAAAATGAATAGTGAAGGTCACGTTAAAATATACCAATCTATTAAGATATCTTTCTCCCATGTAACTGATCTTACGCCTGGGGCCGCTAGGGCCAATGGATGTTTCTCCATACATATCATTTGTGCTGTTGGGTAGTAAATACAAATTGTGCCCTATAGTGCACAACAATCAAAAAAAAAATCAGTTAATAATCCACACTTCCTTTCTTGATTGACTGATTTCCCTTCCATAGCATATGGATTTTTACGCATTGCAGGGGAGCCGTTTTCATGTACTGTCCAACAGCATGAAAATTCGTAATGTGTTCAGTAAATTTAACAAATGTGTTTTTTGTCTGAATGTGCAAGCAGATAGGAGAAGTCACAAACCAAGCATTACTAAAACACAGATAAAACTCTAATACGGTGTTCAACTGATGAGCAATTGTTACCTCTTTATTTCCATAAGAGAAGTAACATTTCTTATTGCTCATGCTCCCAATAATGAATGGCGTTATGTAACCGCGGGATTGAACTAAATATTGTCCTTTCCACTGTGAATCTTTGGACTTAAATAATACTGGTATTGTTTTCGCAGTGTACAGCCAAGTGCTTGTTTATGTTTTGGACTCAAACTCTTCTATTGTGTTAAATACACTCAGACTGTATTGCCTTTATTTGTGTATGAAATGAGATGAAAAGGCATTGTTTTTGGTTAGTATTAAGGACAAACACGAATCGGACAAAAACAAACCATAATTTGCATTAACTTTCTACAACACGTTGAAATGCATAGAAGATCCACTGGGCACACAATGGCCTAATAAGAGGCACTCCAATAAAAAGTACCATAATTACTTGAGCTTATTGTAGCGGTTATAGTTCTTTTGTGTCAGTTTAGAGAGGACAATACATGTCATTTCACATACAATGCAAATTCTGTAAAGGTAAAAGATGCTTTAAAACACTGCCCCTGTCAGAACGACATACATTTATTCAGATGTGCTGCTGTGCTCTGTGGTAGTGAATTAGTTAAATAAGATTTTATCGGTTCCAAGTATCAGTTGAGAAGCACCAATTAAATACATTTGGCATGTAGATGTGTCGCTGTAAACCATTTCTTAGACTGTTTATACACTCCATAGTATAGCATCTTTGTTCTCGAACAGCATACACAGATAGAATGAGAGGCACATAAGTCATGTTGGTCCATCAGAAATAGTAGAACAAAGGCTCAAGACGGTGTAAGAACATTCGGTCCTTGGATTCCTACACATTAGCACTCTTGGCGTGGGTAGGTGATCCAGAACCTTGAGAAGAGTAGTAGAAGCGGTTCTCCATGAATGCTTGGGATTCTCCCGTGCAACACACTATCACTATACCGCCAAAAAGACAAAACGCTGCTCCGATCCATCCTGCGTACAGAGAATATCCGAAAGTCACAATGGTGGTCTCCTTGTGAGTGGATACTGGAAACCATATGGTGGCCATGATGGTGCTCAGGGCTATAGGAAGAAGAAAAAAACCACAGTGTAAGTAGAACGGTCCTATATATTTTAGAAGACACTTAATACCAGTCAGGATTCACCAGTTTGATATTCTCCATTTTTAGCACTGCAAATTGTAACAGAAATGTTTGTTATATATGCCATCACCAAGACAATATTATGACTCTCATACAGTGCATTAGCTTAAAAACTACATTCATGCTAAAGAATAGAATTCTACCCAGTTAGGACATCTTTTTTTACTTGGTCAGCAATCAATTCATGATAACTTTATTAACAATGTGGCAATAGTGGGGTCTATATAAAGGACCTCTGCTCCTTCATGTATCTCCATTGACATTACCAACAAGTACAGTGTAGACCAGGTTCATTTACTAGACTCTGACCATTTACTAGACCCCTTTTTTTTCTGGTGTTCTTGCGTTTATACCAAAATTCTATTTACCTGCTTGTGTATCTCTATCGTTACTCCAGAAGAATAAAGATCCCACAAAGCAGTGATACAGTGATATGAATGTAAATTCATTGGATAAAAATAGGCAAACTTGATGAAAGCTGAGCGGTGATGTTTGTCTCCATTTAGAGATAAGTGGGTTTGGGTCACTTGATTTACACGTCCTCTTTCCAAGCTCTGTGATGATTTAGCTCCTAGCTGACCATGGGACAAGTTGCATCTCCTGCTGTCAAATGTCATTCATCCCTCTTATGGTTCTTATTATAGTCAGGGTTTGTAAACCCACATAGAGATAGTTTAGAATAAATCCTAATTTCTATGGCAAGGCATTAAAATTAAATGACTTTGTTTTTTTAGTAGAATGGAATATTGCTTTCAATACACTCTACTATGCTCTGAAAAATGACTGTACATTATTCAGGAATGTACTTAACTCTCTTCAAGACTACGCCTAGGCGAATCCCTTGATATTGTGAGAGTTTTCACATTTTGCTTCTCTTATGTGGTTATAGGTCATTTCATGATTATGCTGTTTATTATGCATGAGCTTCTGGCCTATTTCACCAATGTGCATAATTAAAGGGGCACTGGAAGTGACCCTAATTTGTCACACATTTTATGGATTATGCATTAAAAATATGCCAAAAAAATAAATAAATAAAAACAGATCTCGGTCTTTAAAGATGCTGCATTTACTGGGTTTCAGCATTTTGCAGAGAGTTCTATCCAAACCAGGAAAAGGCTGATCCAATCAGGAGGCTCTCATTCCGTTCAATAAAGTATGAATGTACTGCTGCATACAGCTATATCCAGCACAAGTTTATGGGATATATAGTTTAGCACTTGACAGTAATTGTATCAGATTAGGTGAATTAAATTCATGCATATTCTGATGCAGCTGCACAGCAATTACTATTGTCTCACTGACTCCTGGAACTGTACACAGGCTTACTGACACTGGAACTGTACACGGGCTTACTGACACTGGAGCTGTACACGGGCTTACTGACACTGGAGTAGAGTGTCAGTAAGCCATGGATGCTGTCCAGGAGGTGGGAGGGTCTGGGAGGGAGGGTCTGCTGGAGATTGGCCGGGATGTGTCAGCTGACCGGAGCTCGCCGCGAACAGTTCGTGGCGAACCGCGGCGAGCCGTTCGCAGGAAGTTCGCGAACGGTTCGTGACATCTCTACACTGGAGCTGTGCACAGGTTTACTGACACTGGAGCTGTACACGGCTTACTGACAATGGAGCTGTACACAGGTTTACTGACACAGGAGCTGTACACGGCTTACTGACACTGGAGCTGTACACGGGCTTACTGACAATGGAGCTGTACACAGGTTTACTGACACAGGAGCTGTACACGGCTTACTGACACTGGAGCTGTACACGGCTTATTGACACTGGAGCTGTACACGGGCTTACTGACACTGGAGCTGTACACAGGCTTACTGACACTGGAGCTGTACACGGGCTTACTGACACTGGAGTAGAGTGTCAGTAAGCCATGGATGCTGTCCAGGAGGTGGGAGGGTCTGGGAGGGAGGGTCTGCTGGAGATTGGCCGGGATGTGTCAGCTGACCGGAGCTCGCCGCGAACAGTTCGTGGCGAACCGCGGCGAGCCGTTCGCAGGAAGTTCGCGAACGGTTCGTGACATCTCTACACTGGAGCTGTGCACAGGTTTACTGACACTGGAGCTGTACACGGCTTACTGACAATGGAGCTGTACACAGGTTTACTGACACAGGAGCTGTACACGGCTTACTGACACTGGAGCTGTACACGGGCTTACTGACAATGGAGCTGTACACAGGTTTACTGACACAGGAGCTGTACACGGCTTACTGACACTGGAGCTGTACACGGCTTATTGACACTGGAGCTGTACACGGGCTTACTGACACTGGAGCTGTACACAGGCTTACTGACACTGGAGCTGTACACGGGCTTACTGACACTGGAGCTGTACACAGGTTTACTGACACTGGAGCTGTACACGGGCTTACTGACAATTTGACCTACACTCTGTGATCATCCAATCTTGCAAACATACAGCAGGCAGCAGGCCACACATAGCTGCAGCGATTTTGGCAAAATACTGCAGTTAGAAACATCTGTGTGCAGGCAAACAATGACAGAGGAACAAATAGTACCATACCTTAAAGACTGAACTGACAAATGTGGACACAGATAATAAGTGGGGGTGAGTTGGGATGTTGTGATGGTGCTTATGACTTGTGAGAGATAAGTGGTCATGAGTTAGTTGCAGTCTCTTTTATTTAACTTTTTTAGGTTTTTTTGAAATCCTTGTTCCGAAACATTTCCTGGCAGCACTGACCATGTCGTGTTATAGGAAAGATTGAGGAACACTAGATAAAGATTTAGAGCCACTTCGCATAATGGAGATAACCTTGAAGGAGATAAAAGAGATGAAGAAATCTGGGATATTATGAGATAAAAGAATAATGAATACAGGTGGCTCAGACACAGCTGAATTGATAACCCGGGAGGATGTAGGGCTAAGGCATAGGGGTTTGTAAGGATTTCAAAATTAAAAGTGCTTAACGGATGGGATGGCAGCATAATTTCCAAGAGACTGCACGTGAGACAATTTGTTGCTATGAAGAGTCTAATGAATGACTTTGCAGAATTCAATTTATTATATCATACCTCTCAACATTTCAAATGGACAAAGAGGGACACTTATTTTAAGGTGTGATTGGGCATGTGGCCAGGGGCAGTGCTGTTCTTTTAGGTGACTTACTAATAACAATTTATTTGCACAAACTGATTTTTAAACACATTTATTGTCGTTTAAAGACACATAACTGTGAATATTATTGTTGTGGAGCTCTGCGATGCACTCAGACACAACAATTAAAAATTTCTAGAAAAGAGGGACATTAGGATAGAAAAGAGGGACGAAGTGATTTTGGCACATAATAAGGACTGTCCCTAGTAAATAGGGACACTTAGGATGTGTGTGGAATGGTGAAAAAGCTGGAAATAAGATATAATAAGACTGGAGTTATTCAGTAGTCTTATATCTTATCTCCAGCTTTTAATTTGGTCTTTACCACTTAACCCATGAGGGGTCCATGTGCACAAGCAGTAAATTGTGGGAAGAACATGCAAACCCAAAAGATTTTAGAATAATAGGGCTGGGGGCAAACGGTAGATATGCAGATGTTGTGCAACTGCAACTTGACGTCTCCCATTGCACACGCACACTTTAAACCAACATAACAGTCCAATTACAGGCTGCTCTATGATTGGACCGTGCATTGGCAGAGCTGACTTTGGGAGACGGAGTGGAGATCAGCGCTGTGAGCTTTGCACGGCTCTGGATGTCAAGTTAGTTTTAAAATCTTTTTACAGGGTTTGGGAGCCTGGGGACGTAACAGCAATGACCTAGAGGGCATTGTTAATGAAAAAATACATTGTTTGAAAAAAGGGTTGGATAATCCCTTTAACTTATAGTGAAGAAAACTGTTTACCTTTGTAATATCTATTTTAGTCAATTCTACTTCAACATATTCCCTATAGGTAACATAGCTGTTTTGGAAAAAGAACATTAGCATGACATAAACTATTAATCATAAAACCTTTATGAATAATACTTGTAATACAATTGCAGATGTGAATTTCTTTGGGCTGTGTGTGACCCAGTTGAGTTTCCAGAGGTGAGTATCAGAGGGCCATATTTGACAGGTCTACTATATACACATCCTTTTCAGCAATCTCTTTCATTTACACAACACAACAGTATCAGTTTCTGGTCACAGTATATGAAGCCAATGCTGATAAGGTGCCTTATGAGGCTCGACATACCATGCATGATCAGTGTTCCACTTGCAAAACATGAAATATAAAAATAATATAAAAATACACCCACAATGAAAACATGCATGCCTTTAAAGGACCACTATAGTGCCAGGAAAACATACTCGTTTTCCTGGCACTATAGTGCCCTGAGGGTGCCCCCACCCTCAGGGTCCCCCTCCCGCCCGGCTCTGGAAGGGGGAAAGGGGTAAAAACTTACCTTTTTCCAGCGCTGGGCGGGGAGCTCTCCTCCTCCGATCCTCCTCTTCTCCTCCCCGTCAGCTGAATGCGCACGCGCGGCAAGAGCTGCGCGCGCATTCAACCAGTCGCATAGGAAAGCATTTATAATGCTTTCCTATGGACGCTGGCGTGCTCTCACTGTGAAAATCACAGTGAGAAGCACGCAAGCGCCTCTAGCGGCTGTCAATGAGACAGCTGCTAGAGGAAATAGGGGAAGGCTTAACCCATTCATAAACATAGCAGTTTCTCTGAAACAGCTATGTTTATGAAAAAATGGGTTAACCCTAGCTGGACCAGGCACCCAGACCACTTCATTAAGCTGAAGTGGTCTGGGTGCCTAGAGTGGTCCTTTAATTGTGTATTTTTTCATCGGGGTATATCTCGAAGCAGCTTTCGAAATCTGCAGATTGTAATATTCTACACAGATTTATTTTCTAAAGCCTTTGCAAGTCTTCCCCTATAACCCAGCCCAGCGTTCTGTGGCTGTCCAATCACAAGCTTCCAAATGCAGTTCAATGAGAAGTCTTTGCAAGGCAGGTGCTCTTGGCAATTTCTGCCTCTTAAGTTTTGCTTCACTGAGCTAAAATCATCAGAAGTGGTAGCCTGATCCAATCACAGTGCTTCCCCATAGGATTGGCTGAGACTGATAAGGAGGCAGATCAGGGGCAGAGCCAGCATGATTCAAACACAGCCCTGGCCAATCAGCATCTCCTCATAGAGATGAATTGAATCAATGAATCTCTATGAGGAAAGTTCAGTGTCAGCATGCAGAGGGAGGAGATACTGAATGTTTGGATGCATTTTAGGCAGCCATGACCAAGGGCGGATCTCTAACAGCCATCTAAGGAGTGGCCAGTGGAGTTATCACTAGGCTGTAATGTAAACACTGCATTTTCTCTGAAAAGACAGTACTTACAGCAAAAAGCCTGAAGGTAATGATTCTACTCACCAGAACAAATTCAATAAGCTGCAGTTGTTCAGGTGACTATAGTGTCCCTTTAATATAAGGTTAGCAAAACATAGCACTGTTAGCCCCCACTCGTAAAATGTGTATGTTCAAGCAAGGCATGGTAACATACAATAAAAAAACTAGTCATATCTTCAGGACTGAGCAATAAAACATTATATATGCTTACATTTAATTTTAGTATATCCCAATCTGTAATACAGAGAATAAATTGCACCATAACACAAAACATTGATCTACCTTTGACTGCAATGAACATTCATGCACTAACCCACTAGAAAATGGTCTGTTAAAGAGAAAAGCTCACTGTAGAATTAATTTCAAAACCTTTCCATCAGACAAAAGAAACTTGGTTTAATAATTCACTCGAAATAAAATCCATGAGCTAATATTGAATATAATCATTCTTCCCTAAGAAAAAAGAGGCCCAAGATAATTAAATCGCTCTTTCCCTCGGAAACCTTTTATACATGATCATCTTACAGGATCCAAGAAAGTCATTTTTATGAATTTATTTTGTGGGTATATGAAAGCCCAGAGTGTAGTAAAATGATTAATATTCTAGTGGATTCAAAAATGTATTCTTTAATGAATATTTTTGCATTGAATTATTTCAGAGACAAATTGCAGCTTTTAAAATCTTTTTGCCACTGTGGTGTTTTAACAGATTTATTTTACGGGGAAAATAAATAAATAAAAATCAGCTGTCAACCTAAAGCACGTGTTTTTAAATAATAGGCTAAAGGCAAAATGAAAGAAAAAAATTGGAATTTATCATTTATTGTTAATTTATGATGTGTATGTTTTATAATAATAAAGAAAACTTTAGAAACTATATTTAAAAGAAAATAAAATGCTAATAAAACCCACAGGGCATGTGCATTGCATTTCAAAGATAGTAATCCCACGGAAAAACGATCCCCACCTTATGTGTATGTCAAATTTTGTATTGTTTATTAGATGTATTGTACCTTTGTCTTTTTATGTGTACAATTTATACTCAGGGACAGTGTGGTGTAATGTGTTGGTGTCTTATCAATAATGTACAATAACAATCTTTTATTTTTAGTAAGGATTTGAAAAAAAAATCAAGTTGTAACTCTGTAGCCATTGAATCTGTCTGTTGGATGGCCAAACATCACTGAAACTGTAGATGAGCGAATGTAGAATTGTAGATTGTTGTGTGGATCCATAGAACACACGGCACCTGCACCACTGACCCACATAATGAAAGCCATTATAATAAACAATGCATATGTGTAACAATCACAGCAGAGAACTGCCAAGAGCTGAACTCATGCAAAATAAAAATAGATTCGCTTGTCACAGAGATGTCATTATCCATTATGCGCTACTTACTGTCCTCAATGTTATGACAGGATTAGTGTTCTTCCAATTAACATGTAATTCAAGGGTAATTGGTGCCTCAGCCACAATGAGAATCACAATAGAGGGTCGTTCACATTAGGCTGGATTGCTCAAAGTTGCTGATCTCTATACGCTGAAATATGCGCAGCCACTGCTGAAGGATTATCTATTGGTTGTATCCAATTCCAAAGATAGTGTTGCACTCTGGGAACCCAATAGAGACTGCTACCACGCCTGGTAGAATTCCAAATGCTTCACAGAGTAGTGCAAATAGGAAGGAGTTTTATTCAGGATTAAGAGAACAATCTTTTGGCTGTGTTCAGGCCACACACAGGAACGAATAAAAAACGCACAACAGCTCAATTAGCCTGCCCTTCGGTGGGTCCCTGCTCAGGTCTCAAGCTGGTTTTAGCTCATCTAGTGCCATTACAGAGAGAACATATCTGAAGTATAACAGACTAGTCCCACCCGTACGGGCAGTCCAGATCCGAAATGCAAGCACTAGAAATGGTTTGACAGAACTGGAGATAACTAGACCATAACTGCTACAATAAACTTTAGTGGTTATGGTGCTTAGAGTGCTCTTTTAATAGTAGATAAACAAGCACAATACATATTATATGTTCACATACTTTCTTGTGTTTTGAGTATATATATAAAGTAATGTAGGCTTAAGATATGTCAAATTTAAATTCCCTGACTGGATGGTGACCACAATACATTAAAGAAACAGCAAGATAAAAAATCTCACTGAGCTCCTAAAAGAGCAAAGAATTAGACACATAAGGTGTGTTTTATATCAGTGATGCCCAAATACAGCTATAAGCAAAGTTTTACAGATAAATTACAGTAATTTATTATGCATTATTATTTCTACATAGAGGCAGTGTGTTGCTCTAAGCTGTAACAAAGATGAGCATTTATCACATATACAGATTTCCGTTACTCCCGCTAGCTGAATTATTTAATAATAAAAGTTTTTTTTTAAGTTTTTTTTTTTTTTTTTTCCATTTAAGGGAAAGCAATGTTTACTGGACTTTTTTATATGGAAAAATGAGACAGTGGAATATTCCATAATGACCCTGGCAATAATTTTCTAAATATTTCCACTAATACATCAGCATATAAAAAAAAGGGCTGCTCTGCTGCATTGTGTGTATTAGTATCGAATGGATCACATTGACTGATCCAGAGCTGGGTAGACATGACAGTAAATAATCAAACAGAATATGGTTAGTTGAGACTGCTAAGATTTATCATTTCATAAAATGCATGGTAAGAAACTGACTCTTGTATTTTTGCAGCAGTTGCAATACTGCAATAATTTAGAGGCTAATTTACCTCTGCAGAATTATGCATTCTGCCTGATTGTGTCTTTTCTTACAAATTAGTCCTGAGTTCACACAGTTCTTCTTATAACTCCCTCTGGCAGGGATATTAATTTCTCTGTTGTTTGGTATCAGAGCAGGAGCAAAGTGGAAGATAATGCTAAATGAAAGTTAACCCATGTATACCCAGGATTGGGAAGGAAATTTTGCTATTTTCCCCCTCTTCCCCCTATCAGTTCTGATCACAAATCATGAAAACCCATGCCGGAGTCCTTTCCCATAAAGTCTGCGTTAATAATTTAAAGGGACATGCATCACTTTGCGACAACTGTCTCGTTTAATATCTCCCGCTGTTAATGATACAGTTGCTTCACTCTGGAGGCTGAGAAAAAGACGATTATGTGCTTTCCACACCCACACTAGGGGTGCACTGATCTAACCAATCAGTGTCCTATCCCTAAGAATGCTGGAAAAGCTCATTGGGCATGCCGGACAGATTTATACATGTCCACTTGAAAGATCTCTTCAGTGTGTTCATGCAGAGCAGGCTGATACAATTGCCTTAATCTGCAGACTGAAAAAAAAACAGGTAATATGCTTTCCAAACCAACTCTAGGGGCAATGATTAACCAATTTGTGTCCTATGCTGGAAAAGTTCATTGGGCATGCCTGATAGATTAGATTTACACATGTGCAGTTGATACCTCCACCTTGCAACATCCTGACAGGAGTAGAAGAAAATATGTCTGATCAGTGTAATTAATGCAGAGCATGTTTCCGTCACTAGTGGACTGGTCTAAAACTGAGTTGGCTGGGTAAAGTGAGATTAAAGAAATTCCCCTAGCTGATAGGAGTGACCAACAATGCAATATGACCAATTTTATAGTAAATTTATAAAAGTTGCATACTTTTGAAAGTTTATTTTGGTGGGTATATTTGTTTAAAAGTGTTTGCTTGCTGGTTTTAAAAAAAATTGTCAAGTAAACAAATGGTGCTGCAAGATCTGATTGAAAATTTATGTTTTTTTTTGTTTTTTTTTAATGGAGGCTGTGTGAGTTACAGCCAGGGATATTGTGGCTGCATTTAAAAAAAAACTCCTTAATGATAGAGAATTTAGCAATAAATGGTACTGCAAACCATTTGATTCTGGTGCTTAGAGTATCTGTTTCCTGTCAGTGTTATTAATTAGGGAGTAAAGTTACTGAATCTAACAATCACAGGTCTAAGTCTAATAATTACTTTATAATTTTACACCACAGTACATTCTATTGTAGAAATCACAGACTTGCCTTACAATGCAGACAATGTCAATCCTACCAATCAGTCTGCAATATTTTGTAACATTCGTATTTACAAGGAATTGATTCTCATTTCAGCAGAGATAAAAAGGTGAGAAAACATTGAGTCTCTGTAACATTAAAAAAACAAAAACAACACGTGTTCCCCAGGGTCACTGGGAAAGAGCTGCACATTTTATGCTATAAGCAATCACGTACACAAACACAGACGTATTAAGGATTCCTTCTAACAGTTACAGTTTTATCGCTGCAGAGAGGTCATGGCCAACCTCAGGCAATACACCCTTCTCTTGATGAAACACAGTCTCTAACATGATGGGAATCAGAGTCACCAACTATTAGAGTGCCAATTGTTGGCCATCGCTGGCTTAGAGAAAATACTACAGCACTGCACTGCATGCTGTCAGACACTGTATTTGGCAGTGAAGAAGTTAATTGAATTTTCTGAGGGTTTTATTCTGCCAAATGGAATGTTATCAATTCCCTGGTAGTAGAGCAATGAGTCACTCATGAGTCACCCTTTTATATTACCGGTAGCATTACTCATCTTTACTCTGCACCCGCCATGAGGAATTAGTATTGTTCATAGAGAGGATAGCGTGTCATGAACAGAAATGAAAGACAAAGGTACATCACCAAAAGACCAGGAATATTATGAGATATTACGAAAGGTTATTATTTCTACCTACATACTAAATGGAAAAAAAGGACAGACTTCATGACAAATACATTGAAATTGTGTTTGGAGCCAGATTTCATCATCAACCTCTTTGTACGGGGAGGGGGCTGTTGTCAGGGATATTGAAAAATGTAATAGTTATTTTTTTTTTCTTCTTCTTCTGCAAATGATCATGAGAATGTCTTACTGAAAACAAAGGGCTGGCTGGTACAATCATAGATTTTCCTCCAAAAGATTGATTGTCTCTGGTTACCAAGTAGGGCCCCCAAATGTCAGAAGATGAATCTGCCTCTGAGGGCTTATTGTGTAAATCACGCATTCAGCGTGATATACTGCACACATTTCCTTACATATCTGACAGTTCCATTAAAAAGAACCAGACTGTGCTATTTTCCAAAAGAAGCGTTTTTGCTTCATGGACATCGGCTGAGAGTTGATTCAATACAAAGGGCCAGTTCCTGTGTATGAGGATAGTAATGCCTTTTGATCTGGCTTAGAATGCCTGGACTCTAATGACGATATAAATTCCAGCACTTCTGTTTGAAAGTAGTATCCCTTTAGCCAGGTGCCCAAAGTGTGCAGCAGCAAAATTTCGACCTCTGCAACGGTCTTTTAAAAAAAAAAAAAAAAACTTGATAAAGACCGTTGCAGCGGTCAAAACATTGATGTTATACATTTAGGGCACCTGAATAAAGGGACACTATTTTCAAAAGAAAGTGCTGGAATTTATTTTTATACATTCCTGCATATATACTGGCTTGGGCAGAGCCAGATTCCTTGCACCATTGTGTGGTTGGTAAGTGATGTTCTTATTTCTTATTTTGGATCTAATGACAATATGGCGGAGAAGAAATTTCATGCCTTCCCACGCGTAGCAGTGAGTGACTGTCAGATAGCATCAACCAAGCATTTTCTCCACAAATTATTTTTACAATCCCTGGTAACTTTCCAAGACACCACAGAACCTGTACATGGGGGCTACTATTGTACTCAGGAGACTTCGCTGAACACAAATATGAGTGTTTACAAACACTCAGAAGTATCACAATGATGATATCATCAATGAAAGTGCCGTTTCTGTGTGAAGAAAGGCAAAAACGAATATGAACGCTAACTTTGTCCAGGGTTTGTGGCTAAGTGGCCACTAAACAAGACTGGGCATATCCCAAATTGAATACGCTGGGTAGTATACTTTTGCAAATGGTAGTAATTCTCATTCCTGGGTTGCCATATGGACTCAAAGGCAACATAACTAGTCTGGCAAATTTCAATGTGTAAAAACTGAAATGGGCAAGCCTTATATTTGACACTTTAACTTTCCAAAACACCATAAACATGTGGGGTACTGTTGTACTCATAAGATGTCACTAAACACAAATATGAGTGTTTTAAAGCAGTAAAATGTATAATTCTGCTAATATCACCGGTGAAAGGACAGTTTTTTGGTGAAAAATGCAGAAAAACAAATATGAACACTAAATTTGGCCAGGATTTGTAACTAATTGGCTACTAAAGAAGACTTGGCATACTCCATTTTAAATACCCTGGGTTGTCATGGTATGCCATGATGGGGTTAATTTTAAATCCTGGGCTGGCAACCTGACTCAAAGGCAACATAGACCCAGCAAACCAATCTGGTACATCTCAATGTGTAAAAACTAAAAAGGGAACACCAATATTTTATTGCTGCAAAAGCTGTAATATGACATTCACAGTTAAAATTCCATGCAGAAAATAATTTTAAAAATCTTAATTTCTCACATCTTTTAGATTCTGTTCATATAAAATTAAATTTCATATATAAATATTGGATGTGAAATGAAAGCCATGTTTCTCCTGAACAAAATAATATTTAATAAGTGTGAGTGCACTTAATATGAAAGAGTTAAATTATGGTTGAACAACAAATAGCTCAAATTCCAGATTTTGTTTTGATCAGAACTTATACAATTACCTTATCCTTAAGGGGTTAATAGAGAAACAAAGAAACATCACAAGCAATAAAACATATACAGAGCTTGTAGACACAATATTGATCTCTTTGCTGATCAATAGTGATGTCGCGAACGGTTCGCCTCGAACCGTTCGCCACGGACTCCAGTCAGCAGACATATCCCGGCCAATCTGCAGCTGACCCTCCCTCCCAGACCCTCCCACCTCCTGGACAGCATCCATTTTGAAGCTGCCTTCAAAATGGATGCTGTCCAGGAGGTGGGAGGGTCTGGGAAGGAGGGTCAGCTGCAGATTGGCCGGGATGTGTCTGCCGACTGGAGTCCGCTGCGAACCGCGGCGAACCGTTCGCAAAAAGTTTGCGACATCACTACTGATCAATCATCTCCAATATGAGATAACGCACTATAAATATGCTTAGTTTTAATAGGGGAACGTCTAAAGCAGGAGAATGTGTCCTACCACATAACTCCCTATAAGTTATTTTTTCTAACTATTTCCCTATCAATAAACATACATATACTGACGAGAAAACCTCATCCTACGTAGAGGTTTGCAAGTTCAACACTTTTTTGATTTGGAATAGAATCAGGGATTTTACTTTTTTCATCTGAACCCTATGACTTGGATTGGGTGGAGTGGAGCTATGGAGGTATGTAATTAAGTACAGAACAGTCTTACAGCTTTATTAAAAAATGTGTTTATCTATAACCGTGGAGTGTTCCTTTAAAATGATATTAATAAAGTGCCAATATCTGCAAGTAGAGAAGCCTTGCATGTAGTAACTGATTTATCTCATTATACTATAGCAGCTGCAGCATTCTCTTGGAACCGGTCATGGAATCTATTGTGGAATATGCAGAAGATGTGCAGTGGTTTTCCATACTGCCTATATGGCATGTTGTTCAATGTGGCTTACTATTTACCTGTCCCTGCATCCTACCTTAACATGAAATGCCTGTAATGGAGCAAAACAAAGAGAAACTGTTGTAAACGTGACATACAGACAGACAGACACATCATTTCCTATTTGTCTTACCCAGGATGACAATCAATACTCCTCCCAGCAAGAAACGTTTGTGTTTTTCGACTCCGGGGTCGTGGCCCATGCGAATGCAGGGCAGGGCAGAGAGTAGCAGGAACACGGCCGGAAGTCCTAGGAAAGAGCCTGTTATCATCAGGGCTCGGGCAGCTTGGATGTGGGCTGTCAACAGTAACAGGAAGCATGTTAGAACATGATAAGCTGACCATCATCTTCCAGCACACCTGTTCACAATCACCAACAGCATGCCGTCAAGTCAGCTACACTCAATGTTACATTCATTTACACACAATGACTAAATGCTTTAAATGTTTCTTTTAGAACAATTTGGCACTGACCCGACAGTTATCATGAAAGTCCATTCCCAATGTAAAGGTCCAGTAATGAAGATCTGAATTGAAGAACATGACTGGCCAGCATAAAGCTTTGACCTCAACTCAATCACATGCATTTGTAACTGTGTACATAATGCATAATTGTACATGCATAATTTCCAAACACCAGGATCAGTCTCACTAATGCTATCGTGGATGAATCCCTGCTAATTGCTTCCATTACTGATAGAGAAAAGCCTTCTCAGTATATTGAAAAGAACCTTCCAAACATCATAAACAGTGTTGTTTATGGTCCCAGGAGAGTCCAGTGTAAGCACGTTGGTGCCTCCACTACTTGCTGTGGAGAGCGGGAAGCGCCTAATCAGGAACGTCCGTTAGCTCTCCTGAGCTACGCTTTGCAACAAAGGGCTAGCTCATTGGTTCAGAGTGTCAGCTGATTGATCCCAGCCATGAGCTCAGCCCTGCACTGCGGAGCCAAGCTCAGGTAGAAAGCTGCAAGCTCTCACAGGAAGGCAAGTAGACCCCAGATAAGAAGTGAAAACATTCTGAAACAGTTTGACTCTTTTCACTGTTGTGGTTATGGTGCTTGGAGTGTTTCTTTAAGGCTGTTATTGAAGCAAAGGAAGACCATCATATTTACTCTTTCGTGATAAAGGAATACTCAAGACACACATTCAGTGCAATGTATTATTCTTCTGCTTTAGATTATTTTTATTTTATTTTTTTTAATAATTAGATTTCCTATATCAGCCCAATCTTTGTTCATGTCCCTTCCAGTCTGACAATCAAACTACCACTCTTGTTGTGCCCATGAAGCACATCTTCTGGGATTAGCTCAGCAGTGCTATATAAAGTAAAGTGCATTGAGTAATTTCCTGGTTTCGTGAATTTACTGCAGAAGCTGCAAGATCTGTGGCTTTGCAGCAAATGCCAAAGTTTCCAAGGTGCATTTTTCATTAAACTTATATGAAATGCATTTTTATTATAGCAGATAACTAAACATGGTATTTAATATTAAAATATTTTAGTAATTTTGGCTCTTAAATGAGAAGTAAAAAAAAAATAACCAAACAGCAAACTGTGTGGCAAGCTTTACTTAACTGATTTGATTCCATGTACAGTACTCACCAGTTAAACCAGTTGTGTTGTTTTTCAATATATTTGTTGCTATGTTATTGAGCCTATTTCCTCTGCAAGGGTTGAGCATAAATAATAACTACTTTTACCAGCATTCATTTATTTTGAGTGGAATTTCTGAGAAAGTGTCATTGAGCCACTCAATGTAAGTTTAAGTCATTGTCTAATCACTTTTGTTTCCCTTGAGACGTATTTCCTGTCACATCTGCTTCAAGGGAACCAAGGAAGTCAAATTTGAACATTAATCGTCTGGACTTTTTCCTCTCATGTGCTCGACACGTGTAGGAAAGGCAATACCATCCTTTAATTTCCCATTCAATAACATGCCTAGTGTGATCAGCATAAAGGATTATGGGAAATCCACATGGCATCGGAGCTCACGCAGGAAGAACTCAAATTGCCTTGGATCATAGGGAGTCGATGAAAGCTTTCAGCAGAGTGTTTCATCTTTATAAAGTTTAACCAAAAGACAGTAGACATGATGACAACTCTCAAATACAATACAATGCACTCTGCAAGCTACAATCATAACAGGCAGCTATTTCATTATTTGAATTGTTAGTAAGCTGAATACATTTGATGTCCAATTTTTTTCATTCATTTCAAGTGGGCAAATATTTAATTTAGTATAAATATATAAAATTAAAGTTTGTGGGTTTATTTACTATTACATGCTCTATTATAAGCTTGCATAGTCAATCTTTATTATAATACCTTCTCAATATCACTGGGAGAATTCAGCGAAAGAAATGGCAAAATAAATAGCGAAAGGAGGTAAATAAACAAAAGGATGGAGCAAATGAAGGAAGAAAGAAATATATAACCTTTTTTAAATGTATATGTAATGTGAGTTCTACTCCCTAGCGTGACAATATGGCGTCCATCAAGGTGTCCTTTTGTTGACGCAGGTAACTGAGGCGACTTAGTTCCTTACAGAGAAATTCTATGAAGGTTAAGGCTGACAATGATATGATAATTAGTGTCTAGGTGAAAATGTACTACAATAAGAACTGAATAGGCTCCAGGAACCATATCGAATCGGTTTGCCTGTTATAAAATAGATAAAGTCACTCTCAATGTCACAGGAGTAAGTTTTTAGATTGCTTCCCAGGGAGCGAAGTGAAATGCTCTCCTATACAGATCCAAGTGCAGTATCCGTAATGGATTTACTTGTGTATTTCATCTTCAGTCTTAGGTTTACAGAATCCTATTATATCCCTAGGAAACCAACAAAGGGCTAGCCTACTTGTTTTTTTATGTTTGTTAAAAAAAAATAAAAGAAATCTGTAAAAAATATTATTTATAGTGTGAATTATCTGAAAATAGCCAATAAAAAAATATATATATCGGCCAGTTATGTTTTCAGTTTGGCTACGTTGAGCTAAAATATATAATTTACTTTGAATTCCTGATAATTCACTGTTTTCTGAATAAACGTGTATATGTATTCTTCATAATCAATCATTTTGTAAGTAAACAAAAAAAATGATGAAATGGCGCCTGAGATAGCCTAACATCCATCAATTGCCACTGGTATCGGATCCCTTTGAGTTTAACCCTCAAGCCAGCCATGACAGGGATTGCATGTGGAGCTTGTTCATGTGTTGCCCCAAAGCATTCACTGAATAATTTTCTCATATACCAAGTTCAGTCCTGGGATCTCAACTCAAAGGATGCTGTGGATAAGTCTTCTATAAAAAATACTATTCAGCATATGATGAGGAACTGGAAATATCATTATTTGCTTCACCAATCCCAGGATTAAAGAAAATGGTCTAAACATGAAAAAAAACGTTAACACAAATGATATATGAATTGTGTTCTTTCAATTAGAGTAAATTATAGGTTTATTTAAATGTAATAGAACTCTAGCTCATTTTCATTTTATATGCAGTTTGCTGAGCAGTGTTGACAGTAAAATTGCAAGGTACTTTGGAAATATTGTCAGCAGACGTTCCCTAATTTATCAATCTATCTGCTGGTTCTACATTGTTCTTTTCACGTCTTGCTTCACATCAATCAGTAATGGCCACTCTTGTGTTTATCATGAGAATTTACGCTGCTATTGTAAGTCGTGCTCCTGCGTGGGTGACATTTATTATGTAATAAAAGTTAATAAGTATGATGTATGACGTTTTATACTTACATTACTATTTAAGAGAATGACAACACCCTATATACTTTTCAAAACAAACATATTTACACATTAATTTAATGTTTTACATTTTCGATTATAAAATGACCGATAATATCTTCTTTGAGTGCTGCTTTCAGTCTTGCAGCTAGGAGTTTTACAGTTTATGATTCTTGTACATTTGGGGACCTATGGGCCAGCAGTTACAATTTACCATTTTGCTTCCCAGCCAACATTGCAAATGGGCAAAGAAAGACACCCTCATATATAAAGTAGCCATAAAAAAGTCCATTTTATAAATCAATATATTGCACTACACATATCTACCATTTTATATAAGCTATTTTCTGGGCTATAATAAGCTGGAACATTATTTGGGTTTTTCGTAATGATTGCGGATCTTTGTGGACACCAGGAAAGTTTCTCTAAAAAGAATAGTGTGAGCGCCTCATCAAAATCACTTGCATTACACTAAGAGCACTAGGACCATGCCCTGAGCTCTGGAACAGACAATCAGCCTGGCATCCATTACCACCAGCTTCACTACACCTTTTTTGGGGCGAAGAAGTGCTTCTTGCAATGGCTCACTCCTTTGAGGGGTACCAGTGACATAGGGAACATCACTGGCCCATCCTGTTTAGAACTGCCCACCACTGTCCCAATTTAAAGGGACACTGTAGTAACCAAATCAACTTAGCTTAATGAAGCAGTTTAGGTGTATAGATAATGCCCCTGCAATCTCATTATTAAATTAGCAGTCTAGTCACACCTCCCTGCATGCGACTTACACAGCCTTCCAAAACACTTCCTGTAAATAGTCACGTAATGTTTACACTACCTTTATTTAAAAATATGTTTAGTGTATAATTTCCTAACACATGCACTGTTAATAGCTTGCGAGACCTTGCAGGAGCCTTCTGTGTGTGATTCTAGTTCAATTTACAGAGCAGGGGATACAACACTTCTAAAGTAAGTTAACATCTGATTGAAAAGAAATCCTTTTTTATTCATGGAGGCTATATCTGTTACAACCAGGGGAGATGTAGCTAGCGATGCACAGTTATTTAACTCCTAAACGGAAGTGAATTGAGCATTGAAACGCAGAGGTTGGTCTATATATTCAAAATCTGCTTTATTAAGTTAAAGTTGTTTTGGGGACACGTCATCACTGAAATCTCACAGTCCTTGATTGAGTTTAGTATACCTCTGTTCTGAGAACTTATATTTGCTATGTGTGATTGTACCACAGAACTCCACAGCAAAGATATGAAGAGCAATGACTGTTTGACTAATTGTATAATTGACAGCCACTAGAGGCAGTCTTAGCCCTGCAATGTAAACATTGCAGTTTCTCTTAAACGACAATGTTTTACATTGCAGGACTAAGGGGGACAGGGACACTTCACCCAGACCTATTCAATGAGCTGAAGCGGTGTGGGTGCCTATAGTGTCTGTTTAATAGTTGGTTTTATAATAGTTGTCGTTTTAATACATTTTAGAAAATGCTTCTAAAACAGAAATGGAGAAACTACTACTATTGTGAACAGCTGAAAATATAGTGAGTGCAAAACAAAGAGATAGCATATTATTTGGAATATAGGATTTAGGTTTTTCTTACCCTAAAATGTAGAATATAAAAAGGATATATATATATATATATATATATATATATATGTTCTGGGGAGGTGGAGTAGATTAAAGATCTCACTCACAGAGCCATTGCTGTTTTTTTATGACTGGTTAGACTCTAGTTTGCACCTCTGCTTGACAGCGTATTCCTCCCGAGAGCCCCGCCATTCAGAGTGTTTCTGCACATTACCATGGCAATGCTCCAGTACCACACAGTTTAAGGGCTCACGAGAAAAGTATACTGAGTCTGCATCTGCCAGAGGTGCAGGCTAGAGTCGTTCATCATTACCACCGGAGATCTGCTATTCCCTATCTCCTTGGCCAAAGGTAAGAAGCAAGGAGGGGTGAACAAACCTAAATAAAATAAAATAAATTGACATAATAATAAAAAAATATTAAACTGTTCCCCTCTCACCCCTCACAATGCAGACCCTATCCCACCTCATAAGTTCACACAAACTACAGCCACTGTAAACAAACTGCCTCCCCTACACATATTTCCTCCCTTACACACAGTATTTTAACTACACACACACACACACACACACACACACACACTACATTCCCTAAAGACATACAACACTACCTACAACACACAACACTGCCCCTATACACACACTTGGTAAACCTCCATTACACACACTACAACCCATATATATATATATATATATACATATACACACACACACACACACACACACGCTGATGTATATCGTAATTCCAGTACTGATTGTTTTGGGGGTTTTTTCTATTGATTTCTGCTTTAAATATATAGGTGCTTTTTATATTCTGAATAATATGGTAGTTTAGTTTAGTGGTTTGTGCCCCAGCTGAAATATCTGTAGAATGTAGCACATGGCCAACTCAGTCTTTCATCCTTTGGAGGTCAATAAGCAAGTATCAATTTAGTTATTGGGAACATTTATACCCCCAGATATACCTAACAAATAGCAAAAATGTAATGTTTTCTTATCAAGATATAAGGATTTGTTAACTTTTAGTGCAGCTTATCATACTAATAGTAAAATTATCAGATTGTTTACTCATGACCCAATAAATGTTTAATCGAGTGCAGCATATCTGCTATGCACATTTTGTGTTCTAAGTACTGAAATGAACTGGATTAAATAATCAATACTCTTTGTGATTTATGCTCACTGTTAAGTGCAAACACTTAATTTACTGTGTTGTTATTGTTGTTGATAATATCAAAATAGTAGTAAATAGTCAGGAGTCAACACAACGCATTATACAAAGCTATCATGCCCATGAGCATTCTGTGTTATTGAGTCACTCTGCTTAATCCAAAATATCTCAGCAAAATTAAATGTCATGATATACCTCTGGGTAGGATTATTTTATTTGTCAGGTCTCGTTGCAGGTGGTCATTTTATTTTATCGTAATAATTTCTGTACACACATTAGTAATGAAGGTTGACTGCAGCAGGTGGAATGTTGAATCAGGATAGTGCCATGGAGAAAATACATTATTTTATGCACAAATGGAGTTAAAAGCAGTTATGGATGCCCAGGACAACATTTTATGTTATTTTTTTCCGATTTCCAATAGATACAAGTATATCAAAGAAACATTAAAAAATGTCAGAAGTTGGGTCAGCCTGCCAAACTTGATGGCACTGGAAATATGCAACGATAAAGATATTTTATATAGTATCATCCCACCTGGTGGTATTAAATGTTCTACTTCTCTGTCAGGAGGTACATCTTCCTTTTATTGGGCCAACCTACAATATGGTAGACTACCATTACCATCAGCAGTTACAGAACCCACAGGATGACAATCCACAGTTCTAGATCTGGTTTTCTGTGTTGTGTCCCACAAAGTAATAGCTGATGCCAAAGGCCCTACATCTGGCAGTAAAATCCTATACAAATGCATGACTTCCAATATCATTTAACAGTCAGCTGTAGCTAAAATGTTTTTGCAAGTGGGGGTCTTCTGATTCACTTCTATATTTCACAGTCTTGGAAGTGAATATAACATTAAGTCATCACACAACCTTTTTAAACAATGATACAATATTCAAAGATGCTATTCTCATCACGAGTCGCTTGAACACGTTAAAGGAAGTAGTGACTCCACTACACACTGCTTGGGGAAGTTAATAAAGAAAAATGTGTTCAACGCACTCACCATTTTTAATTCGAAAAAGAAAAAACCTTCAATATATATTGGTTGGTCAGAACACTGGTTACAGGGAAACCTAAGTTTTAATCCTGTTCGACTATCCTCACCAGTAAGTGTCCCCGGGCAAGACACTTAATGAGGTATATATACATAGATTGTATCCCTTTCTACATCTGTAAAGTGCTGCAAAATACAATGGCGCCAGTGTTAGTTTTGACAGCAGTTTTTGTTATAGCCTTTTGACTAAATTTCCATTTAGTTTTAGTCATATTTTAGTCATCTGAATTATTTAGTTTTTATCAACTAAATATAACATTTTAGTCGAATAAATATACAGTAGATGTAGTTGACTAGAATCTATTGGTTTAGCTAAAGTGTAATGCATTATTTAAGCATTTCTCTAGAATTATGTTTAATAAGAATTGCATACTCAAAACCAAATCTTAAAATGCTATAGCAATCTGTAATCTTTTTCCTTGTACTCCCATTCTAATGAAACAGTACTGTCAATCAATCCAAAAGGAAAAATTAATACATATTGGGATTTAACAAAGTGTTCGGATTTACTGGGGCAAAAATGTAAAAGAAGAGTCAGCAACGGATTGTACCTACAAGTTCCTCTGGTTTCCATTGTGATTGCTCTGCTTAGTACTGAAGACGACTTTTCAGAAAAAGATTACAAATCTCACCATCAGTAATTATTTTCATTATTGCTAAAATATTGATTTAATTGGTTCTGTTATTCCTACATGTAAGACCCTTAGACATGCCACAACACTAGAAAACAGTTTATTTGGCACAAATTATTAGGTATAAACATTACAAACAAACTGCGGATTTCTGATATAAAGGGGCAGTCACACCTACGAAGGAAGACACGTAATTTTAATGGAATAATCTGATAAGCTAAAAGTGCTTAAATCAAATATGTTTCTTTGTAAAAATAAGATTTCTTCCTATATTTTTACATGTTTCTCTATATAGATTTAATCAAAACTGGATTAAAGTTGTGCATGGTCCTGGAGAGAATGCCAGATTGTACCCCCCTCCTATTAGAGCTCTAGGCTCTGTTCTGTGAGTGGTGGAAATTTTGTTTGGAAATTTAGCAATAAGTGAGACAATTAGAAATAGTTACAGGAATATGGACGTATTTCCCACGGCCTTGGGGCGGATCATGGGAGAGTGGCACCTCTGCTGCAACCGTGCATCATTGGTAGTACAGCAAGAGTGCTGATAACGGATTTGGGGGGGATTTCCCAAATTGGCTACTTTGGACTATAATTTGCAGTGAATTCCAGAATTGTTTGTTTAGTTACAAACCCTGACAGGTAGAGGAGCATTCAAAAGACAATGTATATCATTTGTATTGACGTCCTTTTAAATTTAAATGCATTAAATTTTAATTGAATTTTAAATGGTTATATGAGTTGAAATAGTTATATGATAACACAAGCATTTGAAATGGCTTTAATATATATTTTATAAGAGAGTGGCAACTTACAGCATTCTAGCTAAAGAAGTTTGAATTTCTGAGAATGCTAAGTGAATTTAAAGTAAGTTTCATATTTTAGATCTAAAGTAAAAAATGATTTCAAAGCCAGGTATGTCTGAGTTTTTCTATTTTAGCCTAGCAATTGAAATTCTCTTTGGAATCCTGACAATCCACTCTTTAGGGCATTTCATTCTATATTGAATCATTTAAAATGACTAATTGTGTTAACCTTGGAAAGACGAAAGGAAGAACCAGCCCAAATGAGAATAGAACTCATGACCCTTTAGTTTCAGAAGGTATTTTATATGCTATATCAGACCAAGTAACAGCAGTGCAATATGTGTATTATTTAATGCTTATACATGTTAACGAACACAAACAGATAGCAATATTATTATATGACAGGATTATGGTGATGACCTTCTAGATAGAGCAACAGGGTTTATCACTACAGTGAGAATGGTCAGGAATTTAAGTTAATTCAAAGTGGATTTCAAATTTAAGCAGAACTGAATAAATTCAACAATGCTTACAGTACAGCTAGTTTGGCCTTAAAATAGAAATTGATTTATTTTGATTTATTGACAATTCTCAGTTTAATGGATAACGCTAAAAATAATTCATTTAAAATCTCAATATACAATAGAACACTTTTTTTTTCAAATATTGAATATACCATGAAATAGCTTCACCTATCATATAACTAGTAACAGTCTCACTTTAAATCACAGAACAGGCACTGGAGGTTATAATTAGATAAATTACATAGAAATGCCTGTTACGCAACAAAAATGATCTTACTCAGAAAAAAAATAATTCCTTTCTCACCCTTATATAGGATTTCTCTAAAAGGTGATTCACCAGATAGTGATATATAGTAGATCGAAACATGAATTTGAAGAAAAAAAAATATTTAAGTTAAAATGCCCTTGTTGGAATTAAAGACCAATAAAAGTTTGTTTGTATTTTCCAGCTAAATTATTTGAAGGATACATTGTGTTGTATGTGTAGTAAAATATAGATGTGAACTTATACTAATCTAAATTTTGTCTGTTGGTATCTGACCTGTCACACTATGGTGTCCTTTAGCACTGTCATTTGAAAACAAGAGTTATTCCAATATAAACTAATAAATGATTGAGGAGTTTGCACCAAACTGGTGCGGTGACCTTTCCTGGAGCACACAATTAGGTCAGATGTTTTAAATATATTATCTATTGATCATAGTGTTCAGCAGGTCTCTAAATAAAGTGGGCAACAATGGGACTTTTAAAGAACTGCAACTCCTTAATGCTCAGCAAAACTAGGTTATATGAGCATTCCATTAGTAGTAGCTCTATGACAAAAAGGGGATTTCTTACATTATCTATCCATTCTATAATTCTCATAGGGCATCTGCAATATCTCAAGATTTGGCAGAATGGAGTGGGTTCAAATGTCATTTAAAAAAAAAGAACATTTCTAGTAATTTCATCGAAATAAATACTAGAACCCTCATGCTCTATTAATTAGGATTTGTCTCATATATTTATTTTACTTATATATCACACATATTAAACTATAATTAATCATCATGTTTATGGAAGATTCCAGCTCAGGTTAATCTTGGCTTTGCAATGGATACACCATTTGATGGCCCATACAAGTTTGAATAAAGTTGTTGAGTGGAACATTCCATAGATCAGAAGATCAGGTGGTTAGTTCCCTGTGAAGTTGGTTAGTGTTTGTGTGCAATAGTGTCTCACCAGGCAGAGTAAGGATGTCAGCCAGAGGCTTGCAGTGGTAGAGCCCAATTGAGATGACACAGTCTGCCCATAGACCTCTGGATCCCAGCTCGTCAAGCTTTCTACACGTGTTAATGCTGTAGTCGCAGGTCAGCACCCAGTCATTGGTGGCTGTAGCCACTACAACCCCCATCCAGCCAATAAAGCCTGAGATAAAGCCAAAAAACTGCAGACATGTGCCACCCATTGCAAGGTCCAGTGATCCTCGGTGTCTGTGTGGGATGGAAGTCTGTCCTGATCCCTCTGCAGGAAGTGTGTGAGGGATACTTTGTATCTGCTGCAGTCTGGGCTTCCTATAAAACTCTACTACATATACAGAGCTCAATACATAGTCCAGCCAAGTCTATCACCCTCCTCTTCCCACTCCCACAGTTAGAAGCTGAGAGCCCAAATCACTTTCACCCAATCACAGCAAGTGCAGGGGGAGCAGCCAGGAATTGGGGGAGGAGAGGGGGGCTGCTACCAGACACTGTAAGTGGGATTGCTGTCTCTGTAGCTATGAACTTGGAATCAAACTCAGAGATAATCCATTAAACAGTCAACATTCTAATCCCACTTTATAAGTGAAAGCTACAATATCAGAGAGACACAAACTGCAATCACCGAGTCTGTTGTGACACTTGTAATGAGAAAATAAGAGGATTAAATTTAGAATGTGTGACAATAAAACAGGGTTTGCAATAATGTGACCCTTTTTATGAATGAATTTCATTAGCTGTACATTTACCAATTTATTACTTAGTCAAATGTCTGCCTAAACTCACACAAACTATAAATGGTGCACTATAGCCAGGGCACATTTATTAACACTGCGAAATCACGATTAGAATCTATTGGAAAGCAGGTCAACATGTTGCCGAGCTCAGAGGATCCTAAATCCTCATTAGAAATAAGTGTACAAACAGAGACCACTAGTGGCCATTATCGGTAATACAATTAGGAATGTATATACAGTATAATAGAAACAGCTGATTCTGGGTTGTAGTTTCGATTCTGTAGAATTATTTAGCTGCACAAATAGAAAATTGAAAGCAAAACACATAGCCAAACAATAACTTTTCAAAATATATTGTTTTCCATTCACAGTTCACTTAATATGTGGATCCATACTTTTTAATACCGCAATAATGTACTATTGTATAGAAAGCTAATAGCTATGTAATGTACAGGCAAATGTTATAGGCTGAAATAGCCCATCCAATCATGTTGCCTTGCAATTGGTGTAGTCTAATATACTTTTCATATTGGGAAGACCCATATTTCTGTTCATTTTGTTCAGTTGCTAGATGTGGTATTATGCAATATACAGGATATATGCTGCATGCTTTCCCAATGGGAACTTATTTTGTTTTTAGGTAGTGGGCATCTGGTATGCGGGTGGGTATGTAAGTCTATCCAGTAGCAGAACTAATGAGTAAAGGCCCCAGTGCAAGATTTTTGGGGGAGCATCCTATTGCTACAGACATTTAATATCTGATTCACTGAAAATGTCCCTACTTGCAAATAACCAATTCTGTAGTCAGAAGTCCATACATCCCACAGGCATCCGCAGGAATCTTTCCGGGGGGGAGGGCATAATTATAATGACATCCATGCTTGGCCCCTTTTTGACAGTGTCATGAAGGGGAGGGGAATAGTCATTATCACATAAAACCAGGGTGAATAGCGTTTTCACAACTATGGTGTCAAGAATACATAGTGTTCTTTTAATCAAATTAAAGGAACATTCTGGTCATCATAACAACTTCATCTAAATGAAAATGCTATGATGCCAGAAGACCCCTGGTTGCTCTCTTTCCTTTAAGGGGTTATACCTCTCTCAAATGGTTTAACCTCAAAGACTTCCTCCAGCTCCAGATCTCCAGGTCACTCAGTGATTTTTGATTTCTGAAACGGAGTGTCGGGAAATGCAGATTGACGTCAGACATGGGTGCCACTGATTGGCTAGAGTCAGCTGACGCTCTAAGCCAAACGCTAGTTCCCGGTTCATAAAAATATTTTACTTTTTTCTGAATGGGGAGCTACTGATTGGCTTAGAGTGCCAGCTGTCTACTCTAGCCACACCCTTACCCAGCGGCACTCTGTGCTTCCTGACACTCAGTAAATTAAAGACACATTAACACTGAGATTGTTTTACCTAGGGAGATGAGAAGGTCCAAAGGTCCAAATGTGGTGTCCAGAATGAAGTGGAGGGATCCACTTGGCTTGGCTTCTTCTGCTCCTTTACCTTTCTGCTACGTTCTGCTTCTTTTGCGCCCTTCAGCTCCTTTCTCTTTCTGATACCTTTCTGCTCGTTGCAGACCATTTCTGCTCCTTCTCCTACTTTACCTTTGTGCTCCTTCTGCCCCTTCCAGCTCATTGATGCCCCTTTCAGCACCTTCCAGCTCCTTCCGGTCCCTTTCTGCTCCTTGCTGTCCCTTCCTGCTCATTTCTGTTCCTTCTCCTTCCTGCTCCTTCTCCTGCTTTACCTTCCTCCTCCTTGCTCCCCTTTCTGCTCCTTGCTGTTCCTTTCTGCTCCTTCTCCTACTTTACCTTTGTGCTCCTTCTAATTCTTTCTGCTCCTTTACCTTCCTGCTCCTTCTGTCCCTTTCTGCTCCTTGTAGACGCTTCCTGCTCCTTGCTGACCCTTCCTGCACATTTCTATTCCTTTCTGCTCCCTTTCCTACTTTACCTTTGCGCCCCTTCTGACCCTTCCAGCTCCTTGCTGCTCCTTTCTACTCCTTGCTGCTCTTTCCAGCTCCTTGCTGGCCCTTTCTGCTCCGTCTTCTACTTTACCTTTGTGCTCCTTCTGATTCTTTCTGCTCCTTTACCTTTGTGCTCCTTCTGTCCCTTCCTGCTCCTCTCTGCTCCTTGCAGACCCTTCCTGCTCCTTGCTGGCCCTTCCTGCTTCTTGCCACCACTTCCTGCTTCTTGCTGGCCCTTCCTGCTTCTTGCTGCCCCTTCCTGCTCCTTGCAGACCATTCCTGCTCCTTGCAGACCATTCCTGCTCCTTGTAGACCCTTCCTGCTCCTTGCTGCTTCTTCCTGCTCATTTATGCACCTTGCAGACCCTCCCTACCCCTTCCTGGTCCTTGCTGCCCCTTCCAGCTCCTTGCAGACCCTTCCTACTCTTTTTGTGGCTATACTAACCCTTTAAACTTCCAAAAGCTGCACATGAGGAAAGGGGGTTAGAAGGAATCCAATGGCTCTCTCGGTTAACAGGGGGGTGTTGGAGTCCTACATTATTCACCTGCCGTATGTCACTAGCCAGGAGATGGAGGCAGAATAAAGAGTAATGATGGTCCATACAGTTTACATGTTGTGCTAGTGAAATCACAAACAGATATGTATACATTAGTAAATGTCCTTTACTTGGAGAAACTCTACCTCCTGCCAGATGGAGTCCTAACATAGACAGGGCAGCTTCTAGGCGAATCAATGGCCTTCCAGCAAAAACTAAGAAGGTTACCTTTAGTTATCTATATAAAGTGACACCACGTCATGTTTGGCATGAGGAATTAAGGAATAAATTATTACCTTAAAGGGTAACTCTGAAAACCATAAAGCCTACAGTCCTGCAGTACCCTGGTGCCATTCCCCAGTAATTGGCCAAACTATTTTACCTGATTCCCGCTCAGTGCCAAGCAGGGAAATCTGGAGATGGAACTCCAGTCCCAGAAAGGGTTCCACTGGGCCTCTATCTGAGTCCGGGCTTTGGGCCACTGCCTAAGTTGCCCTATAAGCAATCACAAAATATTAAAACACTGAAGCTCAAAATCAGTTATGTTAAATACATTGTAGGGGGATACTCCAGGCATCATAACAACTTACCTTTCTTATATTCCCTGTCATTTTCTCCCTTTTAATCTATTTATTATAGTCACAATGATTTGTCAAAACATTCTATGCACTCGGTGTGTAATAATAGTGAGCCTCTCTGGTTTACTGTGTCGGGATCAGAATTCTCTTATTAGAAATAGAAACTTTGTTAAAAATGTAATTATGTAAATGGTTTTCACTTGGATAAGCAAGATTCAATTTTATTAATGCTATTTGCATTGTGTGAATGCTGAGACAGTGCCGTCTATGGTAAAACTGTATTTAGAAAGAAAAAAATCAGCAGCAGGATGGATTAACTCTTTCAACACCTCCTGCTAATGCCATGGTTACTTCATCCATTAAATTTATCACCAAACGCAACCCGTCTCAATGCAGTTAATGTGATCTAAACACCTGGGGGAAAAAACATGTGTTACGGACGTAGTAACTTTCAGTACTGCTATAGGAAGCAGCAATATACAAACAATATATTTAATCTTATAGAAGACACAATGTGGCCCCATGAGAAAAAATTAATAGGATCAATTCCTGAGAAATGACATTAAAAGTCAACCAATCCAGTGCTTCCTGTGCAAGTCACTTGAGTTGATAAGTGACATCAATGTACGAGCCTCAAGGCCAGGATGCACTATACATAGTGGCTTTTACATTTACATTATTTGTTAGGAATTTACTTGAGCTCAAATTTATAGAAAATTAACATTTTTTTCCAAAACATTTTGTAATTTTAAATACAATATCAAAATATGGAGGGTGGAGAGATGACAATTTCCGAACACCCTCATAAATATTTACATACAGAAGATGAATGTCAAATTCAGTAATAAACAGATAAAACAATATAAACATTAAAAGCATCATGGTTAATTCCAAATAAGATACATAAAAACTAAATTTAAAAAAATAACAGGTTAAAGTGGAAGTCTCCCACAAAGGATTTGTAGGGAATACCATTTGGTATATCAAAAGGATTTACTAAAAACAGACTTTTGTTGTAATTCAGAGAGTGGCTGTAGGATTTATAATATTTAAAGGAGCACTATAGGATCAGGAACACAAACATGTATTCCTGAACCTATAGGGTTAAAATCACCATCTAGCCTCCTGGTCCCCTCATGGCTCCCTAAATATGGTAAGATCTTACATGTATTCGAGTCTGCAGCTGCATACTTTGTCCTTGTTTCCTTTAGACCTGCCCACTGCCTTCTGACATCAGCAGAAGCCTGATCCAATCACAATGTTTCCAGCACAATTCAAACACAGCCCTGGCCAATCAGCATCTGTTCATAGATATGAATTGAATCAATGAATCTCTATGAGGAAGGTTCAGTGTCTGCATGCAGAGGGAGGAGATACTAAATTTTTGAATGCATTTTAGGCAGTCATAACCCAGGAAGGATCTCTAACAGCCATCTATGGAGTGGCAAGTGAAGGCTGTTATGTAAAAACCACACTTTCTCTGAAAAGACAGTGTTTACAGCAAAAAGCCTGAAGGTAATGATTCTACACACCAGAACAAATTCAATAAGCTGTAGTTGTTCTGGTGACTATATTGTCT